GGGAGGGGAGGGGAAGGGAGGGGAGGGGATTGGGAGGGTTCACTTTTCTCATATTCTATACATTTTTCCTTAGAGACTCAAATTGCTGCATTCCCTTCCTCCAACCATAATTTCCAAAGACAACTGGCCTCAATCCCACTTTTACTTGCTCAGCAACATCCCAAAAGAATGTTTAAAGAGCCCTTACAGTTTGCCTTTCTCAACCTCCTGGATAGATGAAAACCTACTGGGAGCAGCCCAAGCTTCTCCAGCTCAGCCCTGGAAAGGCATTTCTCAGGGAAGGTTTTCCTGCTGCCCACTAGGGGGCATGCCTTTGAAGAGTACCCCTTCAATCACCTTATTTGGTGTTAAATTCAGGTAAAGAACCCTATGTCTCTCCCAAGCAGAGCCCTTAGGAGCTTTCTTTCTGGGATACCTTACGCCAACATTAGAACTATCTGAAGGGCCAAGGCTTGAAATTCATTCTTTTGCACTCACTGTTGCCCCTTCTGAGGCCCAAGAAGAGTCTAGTGAGAGAACATTTCTCATTCTCACACTCATCAATGTCAGCACAGGAACACAATCTTAAGGTCACATAGTTGTAAAGGCTCAGAGACCTATGGCAAGTTCAGGCACAAAGCAAACCTAGCTTTGCACAGGATGCGGCCTAGGGAGCACAGGGCAGTCAGGCAAACCACATAGGCATGCAGACTGCCTGCTACCCAGAATGCTATAGAAATCTCCACCCTACCATCAGCGAGTGGCTTGCAGGAGAGGGCGTCATCAAGGTCTCGGGCGGTTGATGGGTCAATGGTGAAGATACAGTCTTTTCTAGGAAAGATTAAAGAAATAATTAGCAGTGCCACAAATAACAACTTTACCCCACATAGTACAGCTTTAAAGAACAGCAAATTTTGCATATGTGCTGTTAGTGAAAGTGAAAAGTAACTTCTATAAATCTCTGAGAATGAGATCTTAGTTAAATGTAAGACTGGGAAGAGAAAAATGGGTGAGTGACTTTCTCTTCCTCTGTGTGAAATGGCACCTACTTCTCCTTCACCCTAAGCCATAAGAGATGTGAGTGGGTGAGAATGAGGCTGCTTCCATGAACGAGGCTTCTCAAGAAGAGTTAGCCAACAAGAAGGGCAAGTTATTTTGGTAACTTAATCTTCAATTTACACTTTGGTAAAATATCCTTCCCCAGTGGCTGATGGGAAGCTATCCTTTAAGGACCTCTATGAAGATAATTTACTGCTCCTTCTCCTATGTTGAAAAAATGGGGATATGCCAAAGAATAAGTCATCTGACTTGTGATACAGGGGGAAGAGGCCCAACAATGAGCTTCTCAAAAAAACTTTGGGCTGTGGAGTTAACCATAATATAAGTCCACCTGGAAACAGCCCAAATCACAGTTTGTTTACACAGAATAATAGTGTATTTCAACCAAGCTCACACCAAGTATACCATGTGCCCATTTCATCTTCGCACAGTATCCTTACAAATGTCACACTCTTAACATGTGAAACTCCCAGACATTTTTATTGTTTTATAGTTTTGCATGCCCAACTCAACCCACCCATTCCCACCATGTAAACAACTAAAGATTTTGGCAGCAGCTGTCCTTGGTTCTCCATACCTCCGGCCTTCCCTGCCTGGGTACTGCCTGGAGATTGGGGTATTCAGCAGCAACTGCCCTTCTGCCCTCATGTCATACTCTCTAGTCAGTGCTCACTGCTTCCTAAGTTCTTCCTCCACTCCATCCAGTACTAGCGGTGCACTGCTACCACTTCTTTGCCTTTTCCTGATTCATCAACACCAATGATGTTGGCCACGCTGGTGCTAACCATGGTAAGACAGGCTTTGTTCATAAAGACTTCTTTCCTGGTGTTGCCCCTCTGTTCAAAACTTCCTTGGCAGCAGTGAGCTTCGATTGGGCCACTGTACTCCAGCCTGGCCAACAGAGCGAGACCCTGTCTTCAGAGGCTGCCAAGTGGCTTTAGCACTGACCTGCCACAAGCTCTTGGGCCTTTCTCTATCTGACTCTTAACTGCCCACTTTCCCTACTCCTAATTACTCGCAACAGTCCTCTCTAATCCTAACCACAATACTTTGATCCTAAGACAGTATTAATTATATGATGCATCATCAATTCTCTAATAGCTTTTGGAGAAATAAAAACCCCACCACAGGCCGGGCGCGGTGGCTTAAGCCTGTAATCCCAGCACTTTGGGAGGCCGAGGCGGGTGGATCACGAGGTCAAGAGATCAAGACCATGCTGGTCAACATGGTGAAACCCCGTCTCTACTAAAAATGCAAAAAATTAGCTGGGCATGGTGGCGCGTGCCTGTAGTCCCAGCTACTCAGGAGGCTGAGGCAGGAGAATTGCCTGAACCCAGGAGGCGGAGGTTGCGGTGAGCCGAGATCATACCATTGCACTCCAGCCTGGGTAACAAGAGCGAAACTCCGTCTCAAAAAAAAAAAAAAAAACCCCACCACATTAAATATATACATTAATTTTAAGACACTTCAGAATTTCAGAATGTCAAATGTTGGTCTCAAACTCCTGGCTTCAAGTGATCCTCTTAACTTGGTCTCCCAAAGTGCTGGGATTACAGGTGTGAGCTCCATGCCCAGCCCAAAAAGTAATCTTAAATGGTAAATGGATAACCAAACTGTGGTACACCCCCATAATGGAACAGTACTTAGCAACAAAAATTAACAAATTATTCATAAATGCAACAGCCTGAATGAATCTCAAAGGTATTCGACCGAGTGAAAGGAGTCACTCTCAAAAAGAAAACAAAGCACTTTGGGAGGCCAAGGTTGGGCGAATAACCTGAGGTCAGGAGTTCAAAACCAGACTGGACAACATGGTGAAACCCCGTTTCTACTAAATATGCAAAAATTAGCTGGGCATGGTGGCACCTGCCTGTAGTCCCAGCTACTCAGGAGACTGAGGCAGGAGAATTGTTTGAACCCAGGAGGCAGTGAGCCAAGATTGTCCAGTGAGCCAAGATTGTGCCACTATATTCCAGCCTGGGCAACAGAGTGAGACTTGGTCTTGGTCTCAAAAAAAAAAAAAAGAAAAGAAAACAGAGATAAGACAGAGAGCAGATCAGTGGTTGCCAGGGCTAGGAAAGGGATGCTTGTGTGGGACAGCAGGGGGAGTGGAACTAAATCCATACATGTCTTAAAATACACAGAATTTTACATACAGCAAATAAAGGTCAATTTTATTGTTTAGTTAAAAAAAATTAATGTGATTTTTCAAATCAAGTAAAGTAAAAATATATGTTAAATATTCGTAGGGTTGATTGATGGGTGCTAGATTTTTGGATTATTTTTTTTCCCTTTAATGTGTACTTTTTCATATTTTAAAAACTTTTCACTGCAATTGACTATTACTTTTGCAAATGGAAAAAATAAACACTGTAGAGAATCTTCCTCAATCAAGAAACAATTGATCAGATATATATGATTGCTTGTACATATATTTAGCTATCTGTAACACTTGTTACAAGATGCATTTGGCTTAATAGAGTTAATGGCTTTAAGATTATAAATCTGGTAAAAACTATGTCCCCACTGGATGCTAAGAAAATAGGGCCAAGGAGGGTGGATACCACTCAGGTGGAGGGAACAAGAACATTTAGAGTAAAGACCCCAGAAAGGGTGGTTACTCAGGAGACCCACTCTCCCACTAAATATTTCGAGGAGAGTCACACACAGTGTGGGAAACGTGAAGGTTGAAGCCTCACGATATATAGAAATAATTTTGGTTCCACTATATAAAAGGGGTTGTAAGCAAGAATGCCAGAGCAGAAGAGAAACACTGATCTTCTGGAATGCATGCTCCAAGGGCTGTGTTCCCAGCCTTGAACAGAGGCTGCATCTCAGATGTGTTTGTTGAATGAACAGATGGATGGTAACAGGAAGTGCCCAGGAGGTGAAATCAGACCTGGCACCACAGCAATGTGCTGTAATTGATGAGGATCTTGAACTTGGCTCACAAGGAAAAGAAGGAAGTATCTACTTCTTTCTCCTTTTGATATCTCCCATAAAACCTACCCAAATGTTTCATATACACTGAGTACTCCATAAAAAATACTTGTATAACTGAAGCTAAAAAGTCAGACATGGTAGTAGGAATGTTTGGTTCTTCTTCTTTCATCAAAATGACATCATAAAAAGCCAAAAAAAAATTCTCCTAGCCAAAATAAAAAAGAACTCCACTAGCTTGGTTGGGGGTGGGAGCTATAGTTTACTAGGTTACTTGGAGAGTTGACTAGGAAGTTTTATTTTCTTAAAATTGTCTCTGGGTGCTTTGAGACTTTCATTTCTATAGATACAGTGAACAAATGATAATGCCCACTAAGACATTTCCAGCTTGAAGTTGATCCAACCATACGTGACTAAGACTTTGTTAGTTTGTAAATGTCTTCTTTGAGAGGACCCACAATTGCTTTCTAAGGAAAATCCTAGACTAGCCTACATGTAAGGACTCAAACCAACTTTCTATTACCTTTAAAATTTTTTAATCTGCTGGTAAGCCAGAAACATGAAAGTCTAAATTAAAATGGAACCTGATGAACAGTACTCGGGAAGGCTTACTTGCTAGAAAGGTAAGCCACCCAAACATTACTCCTGATCAGCAGTCTGCAAACCATATTTCACTGGCCAAATCTGGCCTGCCACCTGCTTGTGAATGACGTGCAAGATGAGAACAGTTTTTGCATTTTTAAATGACTGAAAAACAAAAAGTCAGCCAGGCACGGTGGCTCACACCTGTAATCCCAGCATTTTGGGAGGCCGAGGTGGGGGGTTCACGGGGTCAAAAGATCAAGACCATCCTGGCCAACATGGTGAAACTACATCTCTGCTAAAAATATAAAAATTAGCTGGGCATGGTGGCGGGTGCCTGTAGTTCCAGCTACTTGGGAGGCTGAGGCAGGAGAATCGCTTGAACCTGGGAGGTGGAGGTTGCAGTGAGCCAAGATCATGCCATTGCACTCCAGCCAGGCAACAGAGAGAGACTCTGTCTCAAAAATAAATAAATAAATAAATAAATAAAAAGTCAAAAGAAGAATACCATTTTGTGATACAAAAAATGACTGTGGAAACTCAAATTGCGCCTAAAATATTTACTATGTGACCCTTCCCAGGAAGTTTGCTGACCCCTGTTTTAGCTCAATATGTCTGAAAGTGCCAATTAAGTGTTTTAATCTTTTAAAAAAGGTCTTGTGATTAAATCAGTTTGGGAAACACTGGGCTGATTTCTTAATTGTAGGACTTCGAGGAGCCTTTAATAGGCCAGTATCAACAGTTCTTGCCTGACTCGTTTGCTCCCAGCACTTCTTTGTGGGACAGCATCTCCCAGAACCAAGGTTCCTCAAGGGGGCACCTTCGGAGATGTGTAGAACCGCACTGAATGCTCTGCACAGGCCTCCCGTGGTGCCGTTGTCCTACTTAGGGCTTTGCCACAAAGCCTACCCTAAGGCATACTGCAAGAAGTCAAGCAAATGACTGTGTTATCGCTGTAGGGAATCGGGGAGAACATGAGCCCATTTGACCGTGCAGTGTCCTTTTACAGAGTGCACTTATGGGGGAAGGTAATGCAGTATAAGGAAACACTCTTCTCGTGACAATCTACATCTTACAGACACACAAATTTTATCCTTGGTGGTTTCCCCTTTAGCTATATGAACTGTCTTCTGTACAAAATAAAATAAATAAACTTTAAAATGTTTTCCTTTTTGCTTTGGCTGCTAGGAAACTCAGAAAACCTTCCCAACTTGCCTCTAGAAGATTTTATTTATAGTTTGTACTTTGTG